TAAATGAAATGGTATTTGGCAAAAGGTGAGGTAAAAGATCTGTATTATACAAAGCTTTTCCACTTTATTGGGAACCACAAGAACTTGACTTTGAAAATAACAAACATTTTTGCTTTTAAAGATTGAATGTTACATTAAATTTACCCATCTTCACATTTTCTTTGACTATCCTCTTTTTGTGGTCTAGACAGCTTTACAGCTTTCATTAAAACAAGTTTCCTTTAAAATGTGGACTTAGTTTATAAAGATAGCCAATAATAAAGTAAAATTTATTAGATAACAGAAAGGATGGTAGCTTCCTTCCAGTAGCTGTGCAGCGATTATGTAAATGATCTCTCTGTTATTTAAAAACATTGATCATGGACCAACCAGCTGCCAAAATAAATAATTAAATAAAAGCCTTAACCAATTTTCTAATTTCATGTGATACTTACCACATTGCCCAGCTGATAGAATGTTCTCAGTAAGTGCTCGTTGTTTGGTAGATTGACACAACACTGTGCTAGAGATCGTGTGGGATTCTCCCCCACACACTGTCCATAACCCTCACTACTTGTGCCTTAGCTTCTACCCCTTACTTACTGTATATCGAAGTGCTGACTCTCAAAGCTTTTCATCATTTGTATCTACCTTATCTGTTGAACCTTTCCCCTTATAACTCTCCAGCACTAATCTTTCATTCTAGTCAAGCTGATCTTCTCCCTAAACATATTATATTAATTCCTGACGTCAACCCTTTTCTTATGTTGTTTCTCTTTCCTGGAGTACCCAGATCGTTCCCCTCTTTCAAATCCTATATATCCCACTTGCCTCTGCCACAAGGATTTTGCAGCTTTCCAGTACATAGTAGTCTGTCTTTTCTCTGCAGTCCTGGAGCATTTATTCTCTACGTCATTCAGTTCTTAATTAATCATATACAGGCAATTCACAGATATCAAATGTGTTATGTTCCAGTACCTCATTTGTATCCCAGTTGTTGGATGCATAAAGAATTTCCTCCATAGAAATAATATTATAAGAAGTAAATAGGTTTCTAGGGCAATGCACAAAAGTCTATTTGAAGTACATATAGCAAAGATATAGTACTGATATTCAGATTGCAAAAACCATTTATAATAATGTTTTATGCAATAATGCATTTCAGGGTCAAACTGAGAATTCTAGGAAGGCTTCTCCCCTGCCATATACTAAAGACACCTCTCTCCCCAATTGAGCCTCATTTTCTTGGTGACCTGGGGAGATGTTTGATAACTGGTGGTCCAGTGAGAATACTGTGAGCTGAGAGGGAAGAGTTTTCTGCTTGCAGGGGGATGGATAGAAGCGGGGGAGGCTGTGAAGGTCCCTGTGGTCAATGTTCCCATTGCATCTGAGATGGATAGGGAGAGGATTTCTTGTTCTTCTTTTCCTTTTTCCCTGACACCACCCTAGTATAAACTTTTTTCACTCTTGGACTATTGCAATCCATCTGCCTCCTACCAAAATAATTAGTTTTACTTTTTGTAGTCTCATGCTATTCTGCAGTCTACTGTCAATCACATATTGATATTTTCCCAAACCATCATTTTCATGATCTCACTCCTATGCTCTTTGAAGGCTCTCCATTACTCATAGCAATTGTTTGCAATCCTGGCTGAACATCAGAATTACTTGAAGGACTTTAAAAAAAAATACAGATACTTGAGTCCACTCCAGTACTACTAAGTCATAATCTTGGATAAGGGCCCTATATTTTAAAATAAATCTCCCCAGGTGATTCTGATACACAGCCAGGGAGAACCACTGACCTCTAAGACAATGTTTAAAAATCTTAGCAGGGCTTTGTGTGGTCTTCTGCCCCATTTTTTTTTTTTCTCTTTGAAAGAACTTCCCTGATATGTCATGAAGCCTTGTCTCTTGTCTCTTTTTTTTTTTTCCTTTTTGTCTTTTTCCGTGTCCGGCAACGGACCGCAACCCTCAGTGTCACGCCCGTACCGGACCGGGACCGGCAATGGGATCGCAACCCTCGGTGTCGTGCCCGCACCTCGCTCAGCCACTGAGCGGGAACCGGTCCGTATGTGGGATCCGAACCCTCGGCGGGAGCGCCGCCACGCTCCCAAGCAGCGCACTGCAGCAGTGCGCCACCGGGCCGGCCCCAGATTTATGTTCTAATCCCAGTTTCGTCATTAGTTAATCTTGAGCAAGTCACTTCCTCTCTCTGGGTCTCAGTTTTCAAATCTGAAAAATGAAGTATTGGTGCTTTCCAGTTTAATGCTTCCATTCCAAATTCAGAGTGAGTCTCAGCCTCTTTTTACCTCTATATTTTAGTTAATGCTATATTTTTAGTCTTATTTCAAGAAAGGTGATTTAGGAGACAGTTTAAATGAAACAAATGTGTGGGTGATTATTTTCAAGTCTGAAATATACCCATGACATCCTATTCATCTTCCAAATAGAGTTTCAATTCCCAGTATTACAGACTGTCAGGAGAAATTGCTGCTGTCTACTGTGTAACTTGTTTTTTCTGCACTCTACTTTGGTGTATATGTCTTCCCTTGCACAAGTGACCTCTTTGACATGTAATTAAATTGTGGAATAAATATAACAAAACTGAGAAAATACCAAAGAGAAAATTGAATTTCCCCTTGGTGTAATGAATTTTATATAGCAGCTGTGGGTATAGTTATTAAAGGTGATCCCATATTACAGGATTACTGATATTATTAAGAGAAGCCATCACTATCACTTATGAGTCTAAGTTGCATGAAAGCAGTGACATTTTGAATAAAACCTGAATCTCAACATAATAACAAAATCTCTTGTAGTCCAGGGTAGTGAACAGCCTTAGAGTAAGGCTAAATAAGTGACAAAATAATGTATTATTGAGTCAGAGATTCTCTTTACTGTAGATTTGGCTGGATACCAGAGTATATTTCCGCATTCTCTCTTCTAGAACAATTACTGTGAGTCAAAATATCTTGATGCTGTTGGCCAGGTAGCAGATATGAAACTTATACACATTTGTCAAATGTGAACTATGGCAGTTAATCTCTGCAAAGTCTTCTTGGAAATGATTCTTCCAGACATTTTTATAAAAAGCCCATTTCATATGAAATGTACAACATTTTGCTTTCTGTAATACTACTGCTATTTGCTACTCTTTCTCTGATGTTTATTCATTCATAGCAGTAGGGGTAGTTTGTTCATTCATGTTATTTGGATTGGGTCGAATTGAGATGGGAAAATATTTCCATATGGTAATGTATTCAAAAGAAAAAATGTTTTAAATCCTGTGGGATTAATGTGGCACTGCCAGGATAACAGTAAGACTGAAGTCATCTTTATAATGTGTGTATGGGCCGGCCCGGTGGCACACTGGATGGTGCGCCGCTTGGGAAGTGCGGCAGCGCTCCCGTCCGAGGGTTCAGATCCCATATACAGACCGGTTCCCGCTCACTGGCTGAGCGAGGCGCGGGAGCAACCGCCGAGGCTTGCGATCCCGTTGCCGGTCCCCGGTCCGGTACGGGGGCAACACTGAGGGTTGCGATCCGTTGCCAGACACAGAAAAAAGACAAAAGACAAAAAAAATAAATAAATAAAATAATGTGTGTAAGCTAAAAAATAAACTGAGGATTTGATTATAGGGCAAGAAGACTCTCAGTATTTCTGGAGCCATTTCATATGCTTTGCTTCTGAGTTAAAAAGGATAATGTGAGTTGCAAGTGGTTTGATTGAAACTCCAAACAACTTAAGCCCTCTTGTGCAAATGAGGTCAATGACAGGATTTAAAGCCATGCCTTAGCTTTCCTGTATAGACTATATGACTCAGAACAAACCTGGTAATAGTTTCATACCAAATCTTAGGCTTCGGCCTAAGAAATCAAAAGGACAGGGCAAAGTGGGTGCTTGAAAACTGGATCGGAGGCTGCTGTTATACTGCTTAGATGCTATCTCTACCCTGGTACATCAAAACTTGGTTTTATGCAATTAATTTCAAATAGAATTGAAAGGAAAGTGCGATTTTAATAGGAATACCACATTCAAATGAGTGGCCACTGGCCTGGGTGCTACTGTCATAATTTGGGGGATAACTGTGCTTTTGAAGGAGGAAGTATAATATAGTGGCAACAATCTCGGACAAAGAATCTGTCCCAGCTTGTTAACATATTAATTTTGTGCCCTCACGTAAGTCCTATAACTCTGTATCTTTGTTTATAAAGTGAGGATAATCTCTGCTGAGCTTTAACGGTGGGTGTATAGTACCTAGCATATATCAGACACTCAATAAATGAGATAATAAATAAATGAACAAACATTTATTGAGTGTCTGATATATGCCAAGTACTGTGCCAAGAGCTTTTATGTGGAAGTGCTATATCAACTTTAAAGTGCTATTCAATTGAAAGATGTTATTATTAATAAACATAGTTTATCCATTCAGACATCCCTGTCAAAAGCATTAGATAAATGTTTATCAACTGTAGCTGTAGGTTTACATGAGCCCCAAGAGATTTTGTATTTATTTAATTCCCTACATGATTTTAAGGCAGAGCTAGCCACTTGGATTATCTTTGGTGACTCGGAGGAGTGGAAAAATTAAAAGCCACTACAATTTGATAGGAGTGCCAAAAGATGCACTGATCCCAGAGCACTCTCTTATGTCTTTGTAAAAGGTACCAACTCAGAAAGGAATTTGCTCTTCACTTTCTCCTCTGCAAAGTTTTCCTATCCCATTTAGAAAGTTGTCCATCTTGTTGAGTCCCTGTAAGCTAGGATAGGAATTGTTTCAAAGATGATGGGGAGGTTGGAAATTAAAAAATATTCCTGTGGTGTCCTGTATGATATTCTATTCTTGAACTCCTTTATATTGTAAGGAGAAAAAGAAGCCTGTACAGAGATGTGTACAGACTTTAAATGTAGAACACAGGAAAAACAGAATAGAGGAAAAATTGAGAAGGAGAGGGAATACATAAGAAATACAAGGAAAAAATCAAAGACTATGTCTCCAGGAAATGTTACAGCTAATGACCGCTGAGATTCAGACAGAACCAAGGCTTAAAGTGGGATTGCCAAGAAACGGTTCTCAGTCAACTCAAAGTTTGAAGACCTTCTAACTTTTCCTATGAACCCCAACACCAAGAACCACAAATTGCAAATTTAATAGGTCATTTTGTAGCAAAAGATCAATTATGAATTGCCTAGAATTTTTCAATTACACAAATAAATTCTCTGGGTTCTGCTATGGCGCAGAGAGTGTTAACTTTTTCTCTATTGTGGGTTTTGATTTTTTTTCTCCCCAGAAATTGATTTTATTTGGTGAACCCAAGTCTTAAAGCTTCTCAATAAAGAAAAAAATCTACATTTAAAAAAACAAAGAAAGAAAGAAAGAAATGGTACTCAATTGATTGTTGAATTTTACCCTGACTTTTATTTTTGGAGATGTCAACCATTTTAAGGAAAATCAGAATCAGATATTTACAGACCTGAGGCAAGACTAGTACTAAGCAAAATAATAAAAGATTAGTTAATCTTTGGCACCCAGCTGCCTCTTTTGTACACTTTCAGCTCCTCCTCTTTCTTTTAGTATCTCTAGCTATTTTCAAATGTCTAACTTGTCCTTATTTCTAAAGATGTTTTGCATAAGTAAGCTTTCATTCACTGATAAAACATCCCACCTATAGACCTATCCATTCAAGATGTTGCAAGAGATATTTTAGAGCAGTCTATACCTGTCTCCCATCCTTCAAATCATGCCATGGAAGTGCACTCTCCTTGAGTACATAAAAACATGCCTGACTACAAAGTAAAGTCTGATTGCTTCCTGCTACTACAATAATCTAGGTTCCTCACCTCTGTGGTGTCGCCTATGAACGTTCATCACCACTTTCTTACTTTTCTCACTTCCTTTCTCTCACTTTGTTACTCTTCAAGAAAATACATGTAACTAATTGTCTAGCACTTATTTTTAATCAGAGATGACACAATTGCTGTATATTTCTTTGAAACTGAAATAACATTTAGTGATATCACTTATTTAGATGATCTCTCCCTTGAGCTATTGTAATCTGAAAGTACTTATTTTTGCATAAATGAGGTTACCATAAATCTGTTTAACAGGATTTTTTCTTTATTGCTCCAGGAAACTAACCCTAAAATATCTGTATTGTTTGATCTTTGTTATGGTTTTACAAATTCATTATTATTAAGTATTATCATTTTTCAGGGCTACCAATTATTTAAATGTTCTGAAATATGATGAGATAGACTATAGATTATTCATTTGGGGCTGGCTGATTAGCTCACTTGGTTGGAGTGTGGTGCTAGTAAAAGCAAGGTCAAGACTTCAGATCCCTATACCAGCCAGGCACCAAATAAGTAAATAAATAAGATTATTCATTTGAGACACATTGTTGTTACCTTGCTTTTTTTCATTTTCTTCACTTTTATGTGTTTTCTAATACAGATGACATTATAATCCTTAGAAATATAAAAGACACAAGCATTGCAAAAGAAAAAAAGAATGAGAAACAGAACCATACAAAAGATAACTCAGCTTCAAGATGGCGATCAAATGCTCGTAGGTATCACCAGCAGAGAGGTAAAGTATACTCAAAGTCACACATGGTGAAACAAGTTAGAAATATTTGTGAGTAACTAGGTAAGCAAATTCAAGAACTTGCAATGTTGTTTTAAAGTGGCATTGCTGCTTGTTTTATTTTTCGTGGACATGGAGTCATGTAGGGTTGGTAAGAATTTATGCCATATCAAACAGTAAAAAAACATTTTTTTAAATTTGTATGAGTTACTTCCCTAAGGAAGGGCAGGATGAGAAAAGTAACCATATGATCTGAGACATGTTTTGTACCTGTTTTCAAGCCTGACTGCTTGGTCCAGTTCCACTTTTAGGAGGCAATACAGGAGGGATAAGAACATGGTCAATAATCTGGGTACCATGGCATCCACATTTTGAAAAAATGAATGCTGTCGGGCAAAGACAGTGGGATAGAACATGAGGAATGTCCTCTGTGTCCCTAACCACATTGGTCAGTGCAGTGTGCACATTTTAATATGAATGCACTGCGGATTGCCATAGTAGAGAAATCTTTTCAATAGTTAAAAATCTCCATGGTCTAGTCAATAGGTTGGAACCATCTTGACATTGTGCATACTCTAAGCCCCTGCCAGTTGCCTACCCAGCTTCATTATAGTCATTATTTGAATCTCTCAGTGGCTCAGCCTGCTCTGAGAAATGGAAGGATTGTGGTTATTATAGGGGCAAAGCAGCTAAGAATGGTAAGATGGCCTGTTCTCACGTTGCTAACCAAACATAACATTGATCTTTGTGAGCCTTTTGGAGATCTATATTCTTTGATAGTTTCTTAAGCTGTCTTTATACCCAAAGCAAAGCAGACAAGGCGAATATCTACATAATTAATACAAAACAGACAGTTTCTTTCCATTTCTCCTTTTTCTATGGGAGTATTCTTTTAATTAATTTCAGATAATACTTTTCAACTTTGGTGGCATATGATACCAAATTTGAGGTACTGTATGAGTATACAGAGAAGACTACCCTATTAAGGTATGCAAATAAAACTAGTATGGCAAAGACCTGTTCTAGAACACCTGTTCAGTGAGACTCCCAAATGATATCAGAGTAATGAAATATCAAAAGTTTTGGGCCAAGCCTGTGGCGCACTCGGGAGAGTGCAGCGACGCTCCCGCCGCGGGTTCGGATCCTATATAGGAATGGCCGGTGCGCTCACTGGCTGAGTGCGGTGCGGGCGACACCACACCAAGGGTTGTGATCCCCTTACCGGTCACGAAAAAGACAAAAAAAAAAAAGTTTTGCAAAATCCAGTGCATAGCTTAAGAAAAATGAGATTATAGTTAATATTTCTGAAAGATATGTTGAATTTATTGACTGAAAATACAGAAAATAATTATTTTTCAAAGGATACTCAAGATTCAGAAACAACTCTGAGGAAAGAAATTATGATAAAAAACCATACCAAGAAACTTCTGGATTCAAGTCTGGACAAAGCCCTTTAAACAGGCAGCCTTTAATTACACAGGTAAATAAATACCAAGAATTAGCCAATATAAAGGGTCTTAAATTTAGTATATTTCATAATATTAAGTATTATTTAAAATTCTATTGAGAGCAAGGATTGTTTCTTAGTATTCCTTCATGGTGCATTGAACATAATTTAATATTTGTTAGTTGATTTTCCCCTGGAACTATTTTAATAAACATTTGGTTTTTGCTATTTTTAGTCATTGCTAGACATTTTGAATATATAAAATGCCAAAATGGATTATTGGTTATTGAGATTTGTCATATATAATCATTCTATTTTTGTCCTCATACAGAGTCTTTGATCTTAAGTTAATGTATAAAAACAGTTTTAGTAGCCTTGTGAATTAATTGTAAAAGCCAGAAGTCAGATGATATAGGATATGAAATATGCTCTAGAACCAACAGGAGGAATAGACTATAGTTGTACAAATCCATCACTTCTAAACTTGTGTAAGTTAGCCACTCACTGGACAGCAATTTGAGAGGTGTTTATATCCAGAGTCATAAGACAACATTGGTGTTAATGTTTCAGCTTGGTCTATAAACCAATTCTTCTTAAGGTGTTATGTGGTCATTTAGTAAAAAAGTGGCTGTTCTGGGAACTTAAACCATTTTTGCCAAATTATGTAAATGCAAATATTTATTTATTTGGAGAGGAATGTGTTGCATTTCCAAATATTTGAAGGATTAATTTAAATTTATTGAACAAATATTGATACAATGTCTATTCTGTGCATGCATTATGGTACCAGAACAGCCTCCTTCAATACAGTGGTAGATAAGAAAGATAAGAAGGAAATGTAGTGCCAGATAGGATGCATTACATATTCTAATAGGGTATAAGTTATACCTTGTAGGGATGCAGTCATTCATTCTGATTGGGGGGATTTCAGAAAGTTTGATGTAGAAAATGGCATATGATCTGTGCCTTGTAGGATGAGGGGGCTTGTGATAAAGTTTGAAAACAGGAACATGAACTTCCTTCTGCTGCACGCTGAGATGCATAAATTAACTGAGAATATTGTAAAACAGTATTTTCAAATTGAAAGCATCCTTCCATTGCTCATACTTTTGAAACTTCTGAGACTGTCATTACCACAAACCTACCAGAAAAAAAAATACCCTGCAGTAAAGAAATATATTAAAATTTAAGCATAACTATTTTACCAATAAAATGAATAATTACAGTATTCAATAATGCTTTGCAATTCTAATAAACTAGTTTTTACTTCACAAGATTTAATCTTGATGTCAGTAGGGTACAACCGTATTTATTCAAACAAATTTCTTGTCACAGAACGTTTTTGCTTGTTTGTAGGGAAGGAAAACTAATGTGCATTTCATTTTCTAAAGGTAGGAAATCTTTAGTACCCAATTAGATGAAAATATTTCATATACAAACATTTATGAGGGGCCGGCTGGTTAGCTCAGTTGTCGGGGTTTGATCCCTGTATCCCCCAGCCGCCAAAAAAAAAAAAAAAAAAAAGAAAAGAAAAGAAAAAAATCATTGACTGAAGAAACATTTATAAAAAGACTGTAAGCTCCTTTGGAAAGGCACTTGAGAGATGGGTCTCAATCTTATCTTTCATGCTGACCCATTGTGCTCCCAAAACTAGTCACTTAGAAAGGTGAAGAGGTACATGTGCATTCCACCCAATCTCTTTATTCAGGTTTTTCAGTAGAAAAGCTGGAGAGTGGCCATGGCTTTATGTTTTGCCACAAAAAAAAAAAAAAAAAAAAGAAAAGAAAAGAAAAAAATCATTGACTGAAGAAACATTTATAAAAAGACTGTAAGCTCCTTTGGAAAGGCACTTGAGAGATGGGTCTCAATCTTATCTTTCATGCTGACCCATTGTGCTCCCAAAACTAGTCACTTAGAAAGGTGAAGAGGTACATGTGCATTCCACCCAATCTCTTTATTCAGGTTTTTCAGTAGAAAAGCTGGAGAGTGGCCATGGCTTTATGTTTTGCCAAAGCAACTACTTTTTCATATTTTTTATTTTATTAAAGTTTTCTGTGCATAATATTCTTTATGCTGGTACCTCTCCTGCTGTCTATCAGGTGATTCCAGCTTCTGGTAGTGTTATATTGGAAAATCATAATGCCAAATCTAGACATGTTTTGTATGCTAGTCAACATTTGCTAATGGAAAGCTTGATTTCTTAGCATGATCCATAAGATTTTGTCCACTTACATTAGAGTAGCCTCATAGAGATGTCAAAGGTTTTGTTATTTCCATTTGGCTAATACACTCCACTGCCCTTTTGGTTTAAAAATTGAAAAGGTGGAAAGGCTAAGTTGTTTTCAAGCCGGTTTACTTGAACGGTTTTAAGCCAACCTTCTGCTTCCTTAATAGCTTCCTTCCCCCCATTAACTTTGTCTTTTTCTCTAGAATCAAATATTGATTTATATTGAAAAGATAGTCTCTTTTTAATGATCATCAGTGAGGCAAAGAATAAACAGTATGATTTTGAACACTTTCCGTTGATCCTAAGGATTTGTACTAAAAATATTATTAAATATTCTGTCTCTCCTCAACTATAAGGTCACAGAATCTGTTGTTTCTTTAGTAAACCATTGATTCAGAAAATGGTAGGTAACGTATGACCTTGGAATTTATTCGAATTCATAAAGCAACTAATTTTCCATATTTTTTTATTTTATTAAAGTTTTATGTGAATAATATTCTTTGTGCCAAGGACATGCAACAGCAGAGCTATTCTTCAAGTTAGTTCTGAAAACTGTTTAGTATATAAAAGTAGGCACAGTGGAATTCTAAAAGAAACAGTCACCCATAGAAATGGTCTTGAGAAAATATTGTTACAACTTAATCAAATTAAGGGGTATATGTTTCATTTATTTTGCCTAATTGGGGTCCTTTGCAGGAGAAGAGCAATGACAATTACAAAGCCCAAGCAGAGAAGAATCAAGACAAATCAGAGGGGAGCCAGCATCAGTTGGAAGGAAATCAAGGCAAATCAGAAGGAAATCGAGGCCAATCCGAAGAAAATCGACACCATTCAGAGAGATCTCAAGGCCACTTAGAGAGATCTTATGGTCAGTCAGTGAGATCTCGAGGGCAACTAAAGAGATCCCTTGGTGAATCAGAGAGATCATATGGCCCATCCAAGAGATTTTATGGTCAATCAGAGAAATCTCATGGCCAAATAGATAGATCTTATGTTCAATCACAGAGATCTCATGGCAAATCAGATAGATCTCATAGCCAATCAGAGAGATCTCGTGGCCAATACAAGAGATCACATGGCCAATCAGAGAGATCTCATGGCCAATCAGAGAGATCATACGGCCAATCAAAGAGATTTCGTGGCCAATCAGAGAGATCTCATGGCCAATTAGAGAGATCTCATGGCCAATCAGAGAGATCTCATGGCCAATCAGAGAGATCTCATGGCCAATCAGACAGATCTAATGGTCAATCAAAGAGGTCTAATGGCCAATCAGATAGATCACATGGCCAATCAGAGAGATCTCACGGCCAATCAGAGAGATCACATGGCCAATCTGAGAGATCACGTGGCCAATCAGAGAGATCTCATGGCCAGTCACAGAGATCTCATGGCAAATCAGAGAGATCTCTGGGTAAATATGAGAAATCTAACAGTCAATCAGAGAGACCTCATGGTCAATCAGAGAGATCTAATGGTCAATCAAAGAGGTCTAATCGCCAATCAGATAGATCACATGGCCAATCAGAGAGATCTCATAGCCAATCAGAGAGATCTCGTGGTCAATCAGAGAGATCTCATGGCCAATTAGAGAGATCTCATGGCCAATCAGAGAGATCTTATGGCCAATCAGAGAGATCTCTTGGTCAATTAGAGAGATCACATGGCCAATCTGAGAGATCACGTGGCCAATCAGAGAGATCTCATGGCCAGTCACAGAGATCTCATGGCCAGTCAGAGAGATCTCTGGGTAAATATGAGAAATCTAACAGTCAATCAGAGAGACCTCATGGTCAATCAGAGAGATCTAATGGTCAATCCAAGAGGTCTAATGGCCAATCAGATAGATCACATGGCCAATCAGAGAGATCTCATAGCCAATCAGAGAGATCTCGTGGCCAATCAGAGAGATCTCATGGCCAATCAGAGAGATCTCTGGGTCAATCTGAGAAATCTAACAGTCAATCAGAAAGACATCATGGTCAATCAGAGAGATCTAATGGTCAATCAGAGAGGTCTAATGGCCAATCAGATAGACCACATGGCCAATCAGATAGATCACATGGCAAATCAGAGATATCTTGCAGCCAATTAGATAGATCACATGGCCAATCAGAGAGATCTTGTGGCCAATCAGAGAGATCTCATGGCAAATCAGATAGATCTCATGGCCAATCAGAGAGATCTCATGGCCAATCAGAGAGATCTCATGGCCAATCAGAGAGACCTCTGGGTCAATCAGAGAAATCTAATGGTCAATCAGAGAGACCTTGTGGTCAATTGGAGAGATCTAATGGTCAATCAGAGAGGTCTAATGGCCAATCAGATAGATCACATGGCCAATCAGAGAGATCTCATGGCCAATCAGAGAAATCTCATAGCCAATCAGAGAGATCTCATGGCCTATCAGAGAGATCTTGCAGCCAATCAGAGAGGTCTAATGGCCAATCAGCGAGATCTTGTGACCAGTCAGAGAGATCACATGGCCAATCAGAGAGAGCTTGCAGCCAATCAGAGAGATCTTGTGGCCAATCAGAGATATCTCTTGGTCAATCAGAGATATCTCTTGGTCAATCAGAGAGATCACTTTGTCAGTCAGAGAGATCTAATGGTCAATCAAAGAGATCTAATAGTCAATCAGATAGATCTTGTGGCCAATCAGAGAGATCGCATGGCCAAAGGGAGAGATCTCGTCACCAATCAGAGAAATCTTGTGGCCAATCAGAGATATCTCTTGGTCTATCAGAGATATCTCTTGGTCAATCAGAGAGATCACTTGGTGAATCAGAGAGATCTAATGGTCAATCAGAGAGACCCTGTGGTCAATCAGAGAGATCTAATGGTCAATCAGATAGATCTTGTGGCCAATCAGAGAGATCGCATGGCCAAAGGGAGAGATCTCGTCACCAATCAGAGATATCTCTTGGTCTATCAGAGATGTCTCTTGGTCAATCAGAGAGATCACTAGGTGAATCAGAGAGATCTAATGGTCAATCAGAGAGACTTTGTGGTCAATCAGAGAGATCTAATGGTCAATCAGAGAGACCTTGTGGTCAATCAGAGAGATCTAATGGTCAATCAGATAGATCTTGTGGCCAATCAGAGAGATCGCATGGCCAAAGGGAGAGATCTCGTCACCAATCAGAGATATCTCTTGGTCAATCAGAGAGATCACTAGGTGAATCAGAGAGATCTAATGGTCAATCAGAGAGATCACTAGGTGAATCAGAGAGATCTAATGGTCAATCAGATAGATCTTGTGGCCAATCAGAGAGACCGCATGGCCAAAGGGAGAGATCTCGTCACCAATCAGAGATATCTCTTGGTCTATCAGAGATATCTCTTGGTCAATCAGAGAGATCACTTGGTGAATCAGAGAAATCTAATGGTCAATCAGAGAGACCTTGTGGTCAATCAGAGAGATCTAATGGTCAATCAGAGAGATTGCATGGCCAGAGAGAGAGATCTCATCACCAATCAGAGAGATCTTGCGGCCAATCAGAGATATCTCTTGGTCTATCAGAGGTATCTCTTGGTCAATCAGAGATATCTCTTGGTCAATCAGAGAGATCACTTGGTCAATCAGAGAGATCTCATGGTCAATCGGAGAGACCTCATGGTCAATCAGAGAGATCTAACAGTCAATCGGAGAGACCTCATGGTCAATCAAAAAGATCTAATTGTCAATTGGAGAGACGTTGTGGTCAATCAGAGAGATCTAATGGTCGACGGGAGAGACCTCGTGGTCAATCAGAGAGATCTAATGGTCGACTGGAGAGACCTCATGGTCAATCAGAGAGATCCCATGGTCGACTGGAGAGACAACATGGTCAGTCAGAGAGATCTCATAGTCAAACAGGTAGATGTCATGGCCATTCAGAGAGATATCGAAGATACTCATCAATACGAAGATTCAGAACATCACCCAAACCTGAGTCCGAATTTGACAGGTAAAAATACAATCAATGCTTTTTTTTCTTTTAATTTTATTAATTTTTTTTACATTCTACGATGTTGTTGTAGAGCAGTTGGGAGAGAGAGGGAGAGTGGAAAGGGGAAGAAAATGGGATGGAAGAAGGAGGAACGAGGAGAGGTGGGATTGAGGCTGTGGTACCCCCCACATTCCCACAGGGGAGAGTGGTGGGCTCCCAGTGGTGGCTTGGTTATTGCTGGACTGCGTGCAGATGTCAAGGGGGTGCAGCAATAGCTCTTGCTCCCCACGACCCAGCTTAGAAACCTTGGGGCCCTTCTTGCTGAGGCTTGCTGGATGTCACTGGGCTGGTTGAGCATAGGAGGGTGTCGAGGCCCTCGGCGCCCTGCCACCCCAGCTCCAGAGAGCCCAGGGCGCCTCTGTGGCAGCTCAGTTGTCACCGCTGGGCTGGTTGTTCATGCAGGGAGGGATGTGGATAAGGCCATTGGTCCCCCACCAACCCAGCTTAGGAGAGCCTGGGGCTTTTCCTGCAGTGGCTCAGTGATCATCACTGGGGTGGTTGCACTTGTGGGGGTTGTGTGGCTAAGGCCCGAAGCCCCCATTCTCAGGATAGGTTGTGGGTGTCAGGGGACATGTTTGAAGCCCCTGGCCCTCCCCTCTTCCTGGCTTGGTAGCCCAGGGGACTTCCAGTCCTGCTTGGTGTTATAGGTGTTCTTTGGTGAAATGAGACCTTTACTAGTTATCAAACTTTGTCTCTGGTTGTAGGTACTTTGCTTTTTCTTTCAGTTCTGTGTTGGATTATTTCCTGTTCCCACCACTTAAACTCTGCACTAGAACTAATTTGTTGTCCTTTGCTTACTTCTAAAATGGGGGAACTTCCTGTGGGGACTAGTACTTGAGCTCTGTGGTTGAGCTAAATTGCTGCTTTGTTGCTAATCCCTACAGAAGGCTTTTTGTGCAGCTTAGGTTTTAATAGTTGACTTTAGAAGTACTTCTGAATCTGGTGAAATCTGATGCACCTGGGTTGTATAGAAACACTGGTCTGGGCCTGAGTCTTTTCATCAAACTGCACCCCTTGCAATTCTATATTCATGACCAATCTCCTCTGAGTGGTCCTATGCTGATTGGGGATGCAGATCAGCTGTCCTTGTTGTGCCCCAGTGTTCCCCTGATGAGCCCATCGCCCCCACCACCTGTGCTCCAAACCCTTCCCATGGGATGGGCCAAGCTCCAGTCCCTTGTGATGACTCACCGGCCTCTGAGTGGCTCATTTTTTTCAGTTGCTGTGGCTCCTTGGTCCTATGAGGGTCCATGGGAATGCTGTTGGTGGTACTGCTGGTCTGGGGGCCGCCAAGGCCCTCTTTTCCCCTGCTGCCTCCAAGCAACATCATCCAAAAGGCACAGCTGTGACTTTTTGCCAGCTCCTGCTCTGTGTGCTCAGCAGCTCCAGCCTTAAAGTGGCTGTGGCACGAAATGGTCAGAGTGGTTTTTTCTTTCTCTCATCGTGGCTTCTCTGGCCTTCATGCACTCCGTAAGTCTTTCCTCCTCTTCCCCTGAACTCTAGCAGCCCCAGCTTGGTTGTTCTTGCTTTTTAATAGTTCTAAATTGGTTGATTTGTGGGAGAGAGTGACACTGGGGACCGTCTATTCTGCCATCTTGACCGGAAGCCCTACAATCAATACTTAATGATTAATACAATGTGTTGGAGTGATATGGAAATGTAAAGGAATGCTTTATTTATCTATATTTTAATGGCTAAATATGTATTTGTTGTAACAGACATGTATTGAGACAAAGATATTAATGGAATGGAGGAATATATTTGTGGTATCAATGTTCTTTCAACTTGCTGGTGTTCTCTAGCTATCACCTATTTTTCCAAGGTGTCCCATTAAGTTGCTCCATCTAGGTCTGCTTTCCCTGGCAGTGCCACATGTACTCAGCTACTGAGTCTTCCCCACAATCAGAATACATTGACTCAGTTTCCTATTCACTTTGGACATTCCAACCTGGCAAGCAAGCTAATCTAACAATAAACTATGCTAAATTGATAATATATAATATATGATAGTGAATTTTTGTGTTTCCTTCTTCTATCTCCTTCCTGAACAGTCCTCAGAGAGTCCTTAGTAGACAAATGACAGATCTGTCTTCTGGCAGCTGAAATTTTCTGCTTCCCTCAAATCAGACCATAGGAGAGGATGCCTCTTCTATGCATAGATGCAATATGAACGTTTTAAATATATTTTGAATATATTTTATATATTCACTGCTGCCTTATAAAACAATTAGGGCAGGTTTGTCTACCCTAGTAAAAGAACCAGAGAAATTTAAATAGTACTGTGGACTGACTTTTAAAAATCATAAGACATCTTTATTGCAATTTGTTAGGTTACTGAATAAAAATTTATTTTTAATTTGTATTTCTCAGTGATTGCCCTCAGTTTACATTGGCTATAAATGTCTGGTCAAATATCTTAGATCATATTAACCACTGCACAGAATTGCTGCTTTCAGTAAAAAAAAAAAAGTATTTTCAAAATGTGTGTGGTAGTTATTGTGTATGTAGACAATGTCTAATGCAGGCACCATTTTAATGCACAAGACCCCACCCTACTTATATTAGCACTATACCTAGGATTTACTATAAAAAATTAAAATATGTTTAACACTGGTGACAAGCAACTTATATCTCTGCATTTGTTAGGGATTCTTGCATGTTTTACTTCATGTTATGTATCAGTTTTTTATTTGTCAAGTGGTATAAAACTTCCCTTAAGCCACCAAAAATTCCATTTATGTTATTGTCCAATGACATATTCCTATCATATTCCTAAATTTTAAAATATAATGGACAAGTCTGGTAAGCTTTTTTCTTTTATCTTGTATTATAATTTTTTTATATCTTCAACACAAATAGGTAGTACTTGAATGGTTAAGGTTAAAGTTATCAAATGTAGAATTGTTACTAAAAAAATATATAAAGTACAGAAAATTAATTCATTTTTATAATTGATCTTTTGGAGACTAATTCTTCTACTCTGTAACTTTCTATTTTAATATGTATAAGTTGACCAGATAGGTTTAATAATATCCTTCAGAACTGGAATTTACTTCCAGGCCAAGTATAAAATGAAGACTTCAGTAATTTCATTCCTCCATACACAATTTTTCCCTCAGTCCAGCTTCACCTGAAGAAGATAAAGACATGCCAGACATGTTAAGTACATTTCTACCTTAAACAAGTCAATCTAGAGCCCAATGTGGCCTTAATAAAAGCCTGGTAGCTGGGCAAACACCTCAAATAAAATATGATAGCATATACAGAATATTCTTTATTTATGAAAAATTACGATAAGTTTTTTAGTGAAACATAATTGATTATAAATATTTGTGGGGTACGGAGTTGAATATCAATGCCCAAACCAGTATGACTCTCAGTGAAAACACTAAACAGGACCTACTGCAAACAGGTATAAATTTGAATTTTTAACTATCCTAAAATACCTGATAACAATTTCACCTTTTTCTCCTCTTTCCTGTTGGAGTAATTATATATATATTCACAGTCAGATGCCTTCCTTGACTGGATTGATAGGTAAAACCGATTTTCTACCCCACACTAAGTACCTTACATAAAATGAGTGGCAAAATTAGCATATCTTTACATTAGCTGGGCTGTCCCAGCTTCAAAAAGCTGATGGAAGCTTTTTAAAAAACATAGACAGGGACTTCCAGTCAAGATGGCAGAATAAACAGTCCCCAGCATCACTCCCTCCTACAAATCAACAAATTTACAATTATAAAAAAGCAATGACAGCCAAGCTGTGGCCGCTAGAGCTCAGGGGAAGAGGAGGAGCCACCTACGGAGTGCATGAAGGCCAGAGAAGCCAAGATGAGAGAAAGAAAAAACACTCTGTTACGATCCCTTGCCACTTCCAGGTTGGAGCTGCTGAGTGCTTGGAGCAGTAACTGGCAAAAGTCACAGCTGTGCCCTTTGGATGAAGTTGTTTGGAGGTGGCCGGAGAGAAGAGGGT